CAGTAATAATTGAACGTGTAAGGGTCTTCATGATCAAAGCGATAGCGGGCAATCTTGGAACTTCTTGTAACGTTCATTCATGAATTACCGTGTAGGGTCTGCTTAACAATATATAACCTTCCAACTGGAGATTTCCACATAAGTATTATACAGTAGTTGGATACAACATAAATTAATAAATATCACTAATTTAAATAAATAAATTATAAATCATTAACAACATTTTTTGATTGACCTTTCTTTGATGTCTACATTTTATGAAATATGACTTTATTATTAAATTTAAAAATTTCTTATTAAATCGGACTACAAAACACAATACATACAATACATGGATTAGTAAAGTTACATAAAAGTGGCGCTCCATTTTTTCCTGTCATCAGTAATATCAATGGGAAAACTGAAAAATTTGGCTAAATATCTCAATTCCAAACTCAATAGCCTAAAATCAGATAGTATCAATGGTGTAAAAAATTCACTAGAGGTGGATCAAATGCTTGAAAGAATAATTAAAATAAACAATAGGTATTCTTTGATATTCTTTAATCTGTTTTGATGTAAAAAAAATAGTTACCAATATCAACTGGAAAGATGTAATAAAAATAATTGAAAAATTCTGCTATACTATAGAACCACATACCCAAATTAAAGGGTTTTATGGAAAATATGGATTAAAATATCTCAGAAGCTAAAAAACGGACCTACACACTGTAAGCGAGAAAAATGTTCAGTATTTTACCCTTTATATAATGAGCTATTATTTATAATTTATATTTCATATTATTAATCTCGCCTTGTTACTGTTTTAACTTCTATTGTGTGGTCTGAAGCACACAACTTAGTTTTTTTTTTTCTTTCATATCAAAATAAGGAATTTCATTCTTTTAAATACTGCTTGTCTCACTGTACACCACATTTTGTAATTTTTTTCATTTTAATATTAAAAGTGGATTATGTAATGCGGAGCACGTCCGTGTATTTTCAAATGTTCTAATCTTGAATAAATAACCTCAAAAGAGTTAAATAAATAAATTTGACCAAAATAAGAAGATAACACAAAATATTGTTACAAATGACTCACTCTCTTGAAAAAATGTCCGCCAAGTAAATCTGTATAATCATTTTTATTAGTGTCTAAGAAAATACTCATATAGGCATTCACTTCACCAAGATTATATTTTATTTAAATTTAGATAGAATAATACAAACACAAGTCTAATAAAGTCATATTAAGTTTATAAACTAATATATCCCGTTGTCATTGTATATGTATATATATAGATTACATTCATTTTCATAGTTCAATGAAACTTGATGCAATTGATTGCAAATCATTTGTTCCTTATTCACCGATTTTCTTCCAACTTAGGAACAAACGATAAGAGTAGTTTTTAAAAACTAGACCTAGAGAAGAATTGTGTTTGTGCATCGTCTAGCAAAAATAAGGGATGTAATTTGATTAAAATAAAACTAGATTTGTTTCATTTTTCACTCCCAACTTTGAGCCTAAACAAACGAACCATTTTTGATATATAGGCGTATTTTTATAAATATTATACGTTTGCGCATTTAGAAACAGAAGTAGTTGATGGAATTCGATTAAATTAATTTGAATCCTAAGGTATCAACTTGTACAGGAGTGCACATCCCCTGTGTTAAAACACACACACACACACACTCAGACCATTTTGCGGGACTTGGTTATTTGGACTCAGGGGACCTCAAAACGTTGAAAACTGAGATTTGAAAATTTTCACGATCGCAATACTTTCCTTTACTATATGTTTCATATATATATATATATATATATATATATATATATATATATATATATATATATATATATATATATATATATATAGGTAAGTGAAAGTAAAAATTTAGTTAAACCCCATTATGGGCACTCCTAATATACTCGTCTCATGGGTATGACTACAGACCTGAAACCCAATTTGTTCCTGTATGTCTATAGGCTGATATATGGGGAGGGTAGGGATGATTTCAGGCTGTACCCTCCCCCCTCCCTTCAATTTGGTAAAATGTAACCATTTTTTATGACAAAAATTATCTCTTAAAGTATTATTGTTCGTATAATTACACTTAATAGGACTTCAAGAATCACTTAAACACCATTTCATATAGGTATGTTATTATTTTTTTTCCAAAGTAATTATCGTATATATAAGAAAAGAAAAAAATGCTTTCGGGCTGATGCTCCCTTCCCACAAAAATCCTGGATCCACTAGAGTGTATGCCCAAAACGCTAGTGGAACACAAAACCTTCCACATGAACACAAAGCTTCTCTACTTCCAGTTGTGAAGAACCATTGATATAGTAATAAATTGTTTATTAATAAATTAATAGTGAAGCACTTTTATTATCCGACTATGGCGAGGGTTGTCCGGTTAAGTCGTTAGCTTATCGATATGTAGCGATTTTTTTTTAGTAAATGATTACACCTTCCTTCAATTAAATTCAAGTGTTTAAATACGTTTAATGATATTTATTTGATAACAGCTCTGGTTATGTAATTGGTTTACTTTAAGATTTTTTAGTAAACACTTGACAGCTACTATTAATAATTCAATATTGTGAATGTTCTTAAAGAAATTGTAGACATACAAGGTCAATAATATTTGAACTTGGACCTAATGACTTGCAAGGTTAAGCAGTGTTGCCGCGAGATCTGTGACAAATCCTTGTACATTCACTTACCTACATATGAAATATATAACAAAGTATTACGATCGTGAAAATTTACGTATCTTAGTTTTCAACGGAAATACACGTTTTGAGGTCCTCTGAGTCCAAATAACCAAGTCCCACCAAATGGTCTGTGTGTGTGCGTGTGTGTGTGTTAACAGTCTAGCTCAAAAATGTCGTACGAAAGTGAAATTGTATATTTAAGATTTGTATATGCTAGGGACGTTACAGTAACGTTTTCGTCAAAATCTACTGACCGGAAGTGGCACTTTATATGGGCTAAACACATTTTTACAATTTTCTCGGAAACGGCTCTAACGATTTTGATTAAATTCATTGTATCAGTGTAAAATTAGGCAGTTTTAAATAAAATGTAGTTTTTTTCCTGATTGATTTTCTCTAACAGGGCTTAAATGGCTAATTTTCAATATCAGCTTCCTCTATAGTACCTTTAATTTTTTTTGTATAAAACAATTGACCATTTCACATTTTTTCTAATATAAAAGATATTTAAATATACAATATAAAAGAATTTGATAATTAACTAAAGGAGAAATAAAACATCGTAAAGGAGAACCAAAGGAATACGAACACATCCGAGCTAGCCCGAAAGATTAGAACACGCTTTCATATGTAACATGAGCTTAATATAATACGAACTCCGACAATATTCTATAAATATAGAAATGCAGTTTTCATAAATGCTATTGTTGATATTATTTAATATATAATTGTCTAGATTATAGCGATATAAATATTAAAATTTGTATATATTAGGGTACTTATACCAATAAAAATACCCACAATAAAATATAAATAAGTATAGCTTCTCTAATTTTTACTTTCTTTTCCCCTTTGTCTGAAAATACTTATTTCTACTAAGAAGATGGTGGTAAGTGAAAGTTGTGTGACGCACCGCACCAGATTTTTTACAGTAAAGTTAGATCAGAGCTTTTTATTTTTAACTTTATTGATATATTTTAAAGCTTTTCTGCATTACTTTTTTTTTATGTTAATGGCTCAAGAAGTAAAATTAGCTTAGTAAAATATATATAATAAAGTTTATTTATTTTTAGAAACTGCTGGAAACTTTATATAAAAATTAAAACAACAAAATAAACTTCTTAAAGTAATCTTCATTAGTATCCATTAGTAGATCCCAGATTTAATTTGGTGGAAAGAGGCTCATTTTTTTTTTTTTTTTTCTAAAAACAAAACAACTACTTTTATGAAAGGATGTTAGTGGTCATGGAAGGCCAAGAAAACGTAATTATTTGGGCATTAATGCTTTTAGGGATATCCATTATAATATAACAAAATGAATAGATTAAGATTGTTTCAGCATTTAGCTTACAAATAGATCTCGCACAAAACAAATGTGGACCAGTAAAAAAATTCTATTTTCCATTATTTAAGTTGGGTTCATTATGAATACTATTTAATTTCTTAATTAATCATTTTACTCGATTAAAAACTGAAAATATTTTTTTTATCTAGAATATATTTACAGTTGCAGTTTTATGAAGGAAATAATAATTACGTAGGAAATAATGTATATACTTTCTCGAATTTTATTTTATGCTCGATAACAATTTTTTTTTAAATTTTCTTTTACAACATATTTTAAAAAATATATATTTACAAAAAAAGTTTTATGAAGGAAATAATGGATATAGTTTCTTATATTTTATTTTTTACTCGATAAAAATCTAAAAATTTTGTTTTCTAGATAATTAAAAAAAACATACATATACAATCATGGTTTTATGAAGGAAATAATAATCATTCTCTAATTAAAGAAGATATAATTGCAATTTATTTGTCTAGAGAGCAACATAAGTTCAGTATTTCATATAAATAGAAATAATAATACAGTAAAAATAATTGTAAAACAATTCTAAACTTCATTCATAAAAATATAACCTTGCATAAGTCAGCAAAAATTATGTACAAGGTATGAAGCTAGTTCATCTTTATACTTCTTACATTATGTCATAACCTCGTACAAATACAAAGATCTTCGTACAAATGGCAACACTGGTTGAAGGTGCAGCTGTCCTTATCATGACACATCCTCTTATCTATAAAGAACTTCAAACATGAATTGTTCTATTTATTTAATGTATTCTATTGGATTAAATTTATATTAAAACTTTAGACTGACCATATAACAATGAAAGAAGTTTGCTATTTAGTAATACAGTATTTTGTAATTTTCTTTAGGAATTATTTCAGTGCGATTTGATTGTAATTTAAAGTATTCAAAAATTTGATCTGTGTCGAACAAATATTAAATATGTCCTTTAGATCAGTTTTCTATTGCTTCTTTTTTATTTGTAATTTTTATTTTATCGAATCTTCAAGTCAACCAGAAGTTAGAATAGAACAAGGTATTCTAAGAGGATTTTATAGAAAAATTATTAATAATCGCGAGATAGTAGCTTTTGAAGGGATCCCCTATGCGAAACCACCAGCAGGAAAACACAGATTCAAGGTAAAGAATTATAACTATTTAATGTAAAAAATATATGAGTTAGGCACTGGAACACTAAGCTCTAAAGTCACAGGTTCGCACACAGGTGTTGCAGGTAACTATTTATTCTGTTTCATCAGCCATGGATCAACCTTGAGGTCGAGATACCCTCCTGGGGCACATCCAGCCTCTTTATAGTTGGTACCCTTAATTATGTAATTAATTAAGAGGTAAAATCTGAAGATTGAGCGTGATCCTGGCCAGATCACCTGCCTTCACAACCATTGGCTCTGAAACTACTTCCTAACAAATTATTGAACCCTTCATGGTTTGCACTGGTACTTGTTTTTTTAATTTTGTTTTTAAGAACTATTGTATTCTGTTTTTTCTAAACTATCATTTACAACCAAATACCTAGGTGGACAAAGTTAAATAAATATAAACATAAAATTAATTTATTTAAATAGATATTTACCTTTTTATTTTTGTTAAAGGAACCAGTCCCAGCAAAACCTTGGTTAGGTGTATATAATGCCACTAGAGAGCCACCTGCCTGTCTTCAACTTGATCTAATAATGACAAAAAGTTTGTTTGGATCAGAAGACTGTCTCTATATCAATGTATATACGCCAAAGGTTTGTAACCACTTCCCGATTCAATTGGCTTCTAAAACATATCGTCAGCTTATTACAAAAAAGTCACTAGGTACGTTTTTTATTTAGCTAAAATTTTTTGAACATTTCTAAATTTTTACCTTATTTATTGATAAATTGATTTATCGAGCACAGAAAGTACCCTGAATACAGTTACAACAAGCGCACAGTTTTTTTTTTCATTTTATAATGGGAAAATTCATCAAAGTTTTTAGAAATTCAAGTTTATGATATGTCACATAATTACTCATTGCAATAGACCGATGATATATCATTTTAAGTGACACGTTGAAATTTATATAATTTCAAATCATCTAGCTTTACTTCATGAATGGTGTTTTACTATAGATGTATACTTTTATTTAGTTATTGGCAATTTTGTAATTATTATTTCATATCATCCTCACCATGTTAAAGTAACGAATTGAAGCCTGTTCAACATTACATCTTCATTACTTTAACATGGTGTCGATGATATAAACTTAAAGCACTGATATTTCAATTAAAGCATATTATGAATTTTGTACTGTCTAAGCAAAAATGTTTTAAATTTATTATTTCTGTGTCTTTTTTTACTTGCAGCTGCCAGATAAAAGGATGGCCAACCCAGAGCTCCTTGATGTATTAGCTTTTATTCACGGTGGAGGTTTTATTTTAGGGAAATCTGGACATCATGGACCCAACTTACTCCTTCAAAAGGATGTTGTATTAGTGACCTTTAATTACAGGCTTGGTCCTTTGGGTATGAAAATGATGATTAGTTGTAGCTATAATTTTTATACCAATGCCATTCATAGCTGATAAATCTTTTTTTTCAATTTAGGAAAAGTTTATTTGTTACCTTCACATAGTTTTCAACAATATTTCTGCTAGAATAAAAAGTTTGTTAATAAACAATCTTGAAAGTATCATTGGGCACTTGGATTTTTCTTTTATCGATGTCTTGATAATTTCTAGTAGCTGACTCATTTTTCTTTAATGATATTATCAATTTACGTTATAATTCTTTTGTTGGTTTAATAATGGATCCTTATTAATAATATACTTCAAGTTGACCCTACTTTCTTAACATTAATTTATTTTTAATATAACATATATAAAACATTTTAGTGTATAGGCCGTTACCAAGAAAAACCTTCTTTTACTAAAATCATTACAAGCTACTTTCCGTATGTATTTTATACTTTGATAATATATGAAATATGAAAGACTTAAGCAAATTAACCTGTATGCAAATCTATCATATTATTTTAACAACACATCAGATTTTAATAGTGCTGCCGATCCCTCCTCTTTCTCAAAGAGGTGCATGTTTCCCTCTCAAGAAATTCTTTTGCTCCCTCTCAAAAAAACGACTCCCTTTAAAAATTCATAAAGCTGTAAAAATATTCCTCCTCCCTCAAACATTTTGATGACCCACCATGCGCCATGTCACCTTATTCTTCGCACATGGATTTTTACCCAGCCTTATCCTATTTGGTTTCATTGTTATCTTGAATCTTTGTTTTAAGATTTTTTTTTTCTTCAGAATATTCAATTAAATAAATCCTCTAAAATATATTTTGGAAATAAAATAAGTTATTTCTCAATAAAATTCCTTACTTGATCTGTATTTTTTCTATACAGATCTGATCTTTTTAAATTTTATTTTTTTTAAACCAGGAAAGGTATAGTCATGAGTATTTTTCATATCTAAAAATTAAATTCTATATTTTGATTGTATTTCATCTCATTTTCTAATACTTTTGTATATCTTTCTATTGAACTTAATTTTATTATTTTCTCACCTGTAGATTATTGTGTGTGTGTTTTTAATCAAGAGTCAAGTATAGAAAATCCTTAATCTTTGTAAATTAAATCATTTTTTAGCTTGACTAAAAATGTTTTTGTCATCATTAAATCCCATTATCAATAATATTCTTTTAAAAAAATGTTGGACACCTCTGCTTCATTTAAAATCTGAGTACCTTTTTTTTCCTCTCTCACTTAGCTCACCTAACAATTTCTGGGATCGTAATATTGGCATCGTAATAAGCCATATTGACATCGTAATAAGTCTGGTAATTATTCATTATTAATTTCTTTTTCAATTTTAGGTTTCCTTAGTACAGAGGACAATGTTGTCCCAGGAAATAATGGTTTAAAAGATCAGGTTCTAGCCTTAAAATGGATTCAAAAGAATATAGCAGCATTTGGTGGGAATCCAAACAGTGTTACACTTGGTGGGTTGTCTGCAGGTGGAGCAAGTTGTCATTACCACCTACTTTCTCCTCTTAGCAAAGGTTATTTTAAGAAAATAATTCCTAATCATTTATTTATGTGTATATTTAAGTTTTATTTTGTATAGTATCAATTTCTAGGTTTATTCCACAGAGCTATCTGTATGAGCGGTGTAGCTTTGAATCCATGGGCAGTAGCAGAAAATATGAAAGAAAAAACTATGGTAATTGCGACTGATCTTGGCTGCCCTATAAACGATTCACTTACTATGATTAACTGTTTAAGAAGTAAACCAGCTGAACACATCGTTTCACTAACAAAATTATTCTTGGTAAAAAATCAATTCAACATATGATTATAGAAATATTTCTGTTAGTATTAAATTTTTTTTTTTTTTTTTTAATATATATTTTAGGTCTGGAGAGATTATGTACCACTTGTTATTTTTGCTCCAGTTATTGAGCCACCTAGTGCAACTGCTTTCATTTCAGATTTTCCAGTAAACATTGTAAAAGAAAAAGGTGGCTCCGATGTTCCAGTTGTATTTTCTTTTGCACTCGATGAAGGATTGGTTCTAGCACAAGGTATGGCAACCAAATTGTTTTTTAATTTATTTTTTACTCCATTATGGTTTGCAATTTTAAAGATATAAAGAGTGAATGAGTTTTTTTTTCCTGAATCGAGCAGACTTACAGTAATATTCATCAGTATCAGTAGATAGTATACATAACACATCATCTTCGTAATCTAAATCCTTCATAGCATTTAATAATATTATTAAGAATAACTGGCATTAGAAGATATATGGCCTCTAAGCCCAGTCATAATATCATAGCTAGCCACTGGCCCGCCTTTCTTTTATCTTTTTTGATATTTTGGTCGTTTTTCACTTAATAATCAATTGATTATTTGTTTTCAATTTCAATTGAACTCAGTATTAACAGTTTCACCAGGTTTTAGCAGCTCATAATAGATCGCATCCTTCTTCCACCTTAATTTCTCGCATCAAAATCACCAGTTTTGAATTTTTTAAACCACTCAAATCACTGTGATTATACCAAGAGCATGCTAATCGTAAGCTTTGACAAGTTTTCAATGCAATTCTGCAGAAATTTTCTTTAAATGGTGACAGAAAATTAATGTTATTATGTGAGAATTGTATTATTGTGAGTCGAAAATTTTTGCCAACTGTGCCAATAATGTGGTTTAAGGGTAACTATATTAACAACTAAAGCCATCTATGGATGAATTCCAGTTTCATCTGTAGACACCTATAATACATGATATGTTTCAAAAACTAATTACATTTGTATTTCAACGATTAAACATCTATTATATCTTTGACTTGTATTGAAACTGTTATTTAAAAATATAATATTCCAAACAAATATTTCAGAGATTTTAACTAAACCTGAAGTTTATGCTGATATGTTGGAACATTGGGATAATTTGATACCTTACTTTTTGGATTTCAATAACACTGTACCACATGAAACAAAAACTGAAATTGGGCAAACAATTAGTAAACATTATAATGTAGATGATACTCCAGAAGGACGCAAACGTTTTGTTAAGGTTTGTGACATAATTATTGTTAATAATTTTTTCACTTAAGGTATTCTGGAATTATCTGGTGCAGATAGTCATTGGGCTTATTCTTAAACACAATGAATGATTTTATCAATAAATATTACCACATCTATGCTTGTTTATGTTTGTCTGGAAAGAGAGTGTTCAATCACCATGATTTTTTTTTAAAAAAAGATGTAACTGGATCTAGAAAGATTTAATAATATGATTGGTTTTTCTGCAGAACTAAATTATCACGTTAATACCAACTAATTTTCCTCAATCTATAGGGACACTTTAAGCCAGGTATCCACTATGTTCATGAACTAACAGCATCCCAAGCATGTAACAGTTCGAGAATGTTCTAGAGCATTCCAATGGTTGTCAGTTTTTATCCAAACTTATAGGGAAGCGTAGCATCATGGGCGCAGCATTCAACCAATGTTAGTCAGTTATGTAACATTGCGCGATGGAGTGGACAAAAGATGTCTTCTGCCTATCAAATTATACCAAACATATTCAATACTGTGGAATGTTCTGCCGTCGAATTTCGAACAGTTAAAATGAAAACTAAGAACAGTAATAGAAAGAAAAGGGTAAGCACTATTAAAAAAAAAAAAATCATTTCAGAGTCAAGTATTCCACTTCATTCTAAATGGGAAAACAATTTCTGTAGTCCCGCTTAGTTCTTGAAATCTTAGGTCCAACAAGAAGTCATTTTAGACCTTTCTTCATAAAATTTTACTCCCCAAAATGAGGAAGTCTCCTATAATTTTCTACCTAATAAGAGATAAAAATGTACTTGCCATGTGGATTACACTCGCCATTAGCTCAGACAACATTTTGTTCCTTCAACGATCATAAGAACATACCGGAGCACTTGAAGAGCGGCTGTGTTTGCAAAAATCCCGTCCCCATAAACAAAGTTACAGGAGCAGGAAGTGTCATTGGTTCGCGAACAACATAATGGATACTCGTTTTTATATATTTTTATGTGTTTTATTAAATTGAATATATCTCGAGAAATTAAGAAATTAATCAAACATACCCATGTGATTCATGAATAATTCGTAATCATTTTATTTTCTCGTTTTCGCTTTTTTGTTAATTATAGTCAATTTATGGTAAAATTAAAATACTCTATGTAATTTCTTGCTTAAAAAAATATGAAGGCAATGATTAAATGCAATTTGTATTTTTTTTTTTTTTTTTTTTTTTAATAGGGCTTATATTAAAGTCCTAATATGACTTTCAGCAGTTATACTTAAATTATTTAATTTAATAATACTTAAATTGATCATAACAATATTTTTTCTATCTCAGATACTATAATAGGTCCACTGATCCCTACCATTTTCTACAATGCTCTTAAAGAACATAACAAGGGATGATCCAGACTTCCTATATTCATCTAGCCAAATGGATAACTGGTCCAATTGGGCGTAAATAAATTAATATTGTAAGCTCTTTCTCTTTATCTCTGTCTAACTGTCAAACTTTTAAATATACTTATCATTCTTTCCTATTAACAAACTTTATTTACTCCTGAGAGAATCTACTCTAATTTTAAGAAGAGAATGTGTCAGGCTTAGATAGGATGAGCCAAGAATGATAAGGAAAACACATCCAGAACTCAAACAGGATGGACTCTTCATAGTTACGGGAACCATCTACAAACATGTGAAAGGGAAATGTAGGATCAAAGGAACCACCTTAATAACATTCAAAGCTCATCAAGTATGGGGTCTACTCAAATATGTACAAAGGGGACATGTACAGAACAAGGGACCACCAAAGGACTGGATGGAAGGAGAAAGGAATTAGAATTGGAGATATGAGAAGGCCAAGTACCAAGTTACGATTCGGAAATTCAACCAGAAAGAGGGTAATGAAAGTTGTGTATCAAGAATTGACTGGGATGAGAGAATAGCACACAAATAAAACAACAGTCTGGCGTCTTCAACAGAGATTCCAAGAGTGTTTGTGGGAGATGAAGATTTCCTTCAATCGGAAATCAGACCTTTATTTAATTATGTTCTCCTAACGTATCATGTATGTCTTTATGAAATGATCTTGATATAAACATTAGCAATTACAAGGGAGGAGTATTTGAAACTGAAATCTCCCTCTCCTCGCCTAGGTTGTATTATGGGTAATTGCTACTAGATACAATTAGGTAACCACTCCACATTTGTCATGTTGAATTCTTTCTGCTCTGGATGGTGGAATAAGGGTTCAATTTATAAAAGAAAACTTCAGTTCTCAATAGGAGATACTTTTTTTTATTAATCTTTTAACTTGAAATGTTTATCTCTATGGCTTACTAATCTTAAACCTCTGAAATTGTAATATTTAACATGAAAAATATTGTTATAAAAACATATATATCATTACAGATGCTTGGAGACAGGCTCTTCGTATCTGGCATCAGTAAGATTACAAAACTTTCAGCTGCAACGTACACTTCACCTGTATATCTTTACAGATTTTCGTACAAAGGGTCGAGTGCAATTTCCAAATCCCTTTATACTAAAGAAGATATAGGTATAATACTTTTTGATACTTGATACTAAATATCAGTTTTGAATAATCCCTAAATTGTTAATTTATACATCTAGAGTTTGCTTTTCTTTTTCACAAGGCCTAAAGGGTGCCCTCTTCATGCTTTTAAATGAGTGATTTCTTAAAACTACACCACTGTTTATAAAACTAATACTTGATGATTGGTTTATTTTATAATTAACAATAAAAAAAAATGTTATTGTATTTTTTAAAATTTAATAATTGATAATTTTATAAAATATTCTTAGGGACAATGACTATACATATTTTTTCTTAATATTAATTCAAAACATTCTCTTGAAGAAATTTTGTTGTTAGTACATTGCAATCTGGGTTTTTGGTAATGTTTTCACTGGACTAACATTAATTTTAAGAAATACCAACTAGAAAAAATGTATTTAAATCTTACCATGAACCATTAAATTCAACATCTCTCAAGCAACCAAACCGTAAAGAAATGTGTAAAAGCGACACTAGCACTAATTCAAACTCCCTTATTTCTCATGAAAAACCGACAGCAGATAGATCGATCACAGAAGGACAAAAACACTATTCTAGAGAAATACGCTATTTTCACATTCATGTTTCCCATTGTTTGTGAAATGTATAAACATCTCTCAAAGTTTCAGTAACTCTCAATCGAATAAATGCATTTTCGATTATTAGCCAATGTTTTGTGTCACAAATATCTCTTTAATGTATCGATTAATTTTAACTATAATGTTTATTTATTTAAAATGTAAAATTACAGTGAGGTGTTAGTAGATTTATTTTTTAATGTGATTAAATTAATTAATACCTTTTTTTTTCTTACAGGTGTGAGCCATGCTGATGATATATTTTATGTATTAGGATTTTCTGAATTAAACACATTAAAGAAAGAATCTGATTTAGAAATGTCCAAACAAATGCTTGATACATTTGTATCTTTTTTTAAAAATGGGTAATTTAACAAATTCAACTTTAATTATAGGTACCATTTTAATCATCAAACTGAATATTTTTTTTGTAATATTTAATTGCAGTTCATTAGGAGAGAACTGGGAATCAGTGAAGGAACAGTTACCAAAGGTTGTCTTCACAGATATGAAAGGTCCCAACGATTTTCTGCTTACAACTGTTGATGAATTGGGAGAAGAAAGTTTCTGGGATTCTTTAGGCTTTAATGAAAACTTAGAACTGACCGATGTATCTCATGATGAATTTTAAAACATATTTTAGTTTTAGAAGTAAATGGTGAAATTAAGAGCATTCCATTCGATGAGACATCAATTACATAGGGTTATTCACTTCATTACTGGAGCACTAGAACAAAAACTATATGCAACGAAGGTATTTTTGGATGCCACTCAGGCATTTAACAAAGTCTTGCTGCAGCATCTTCTTTTAACACTTAAGACTACACTACTATACACCTTTGCAGATAATAGACGGTTCTATCTATCAATCATTCCTCTTTGACAGATTTTTCTCATTTCATCAATGCTCAGAAATTTCTTTACTAGTCCATTCTTGGCGGGCGTTCCCCAAGGTCCGATACTGGACAATCTACTTTTTATTTTATACACTTACGACATATCTAAAACATTGACAGTTGCTAACGCTAACAATATAATTTAAGACATACAATAATCCTTCATGGCCGAAGTGCATTTTGCCACTGCATGAAAAAAAAATACAACATCTCATAAACAAAACAATTCATCAAGATTCTGTATAGGTCTTACTATCTTTTGCAACAACTAATAAAAAAAGATAATTTAAAAAAATACGTATTAAAGAAATAACATAATCTATCACTAGAGAATAGCCATTAACAAATATTTAAACTTGGTCTAGTAATAGGATGCTTTTCACAAAAAAGTACTGCTTCTAGCAAGTATATTTTCCAGGGTGTATTAACATCCAAAAGTGTCTTTAGTTATGTTTGTTGAACCCGTATGTCAGAAATCGATAAGTTGGGTGAAAAAAAATGTTATGTTTGGAGATGGAAGGTACCCTTTTTTTTATTATTTATTTATTATTTATAACCACCCCTTCCTTACCTTTTAGACTACATAGATTTTTCCTGGGCTGAGGGAGAGAGTGGGGGAATTATGCTAAGTTAAAAGTCCCACTGGGCACCGGGATTTGAACTTTTAATTATTTTTCTATCTCAAACTATACTCTCTTAGGTTGGATAGGCTTATTTCTATATTTTTCTATTTTATTTTTAGCAAGTATGTCTGAAAAGTATCTAATTTTAATGTCTACTGAATATGAATCGGTAGGTAATAGTACGATTGACAAGTTTGTATTATTGTTTAAAAATAAATAAATAAAAACGAAGCATTATCTCTCTATTATATAAAAAAGTGTTTAATGACTTTCATATTTTATTTTATTTTAGTATTAGGAGAGTAGGAGGTACCAAGAGCTTAAGTAGTGCTCTACTAAGGTAATTATTTTACAAATTATACAGCTGTTCAATTAATTACATCTGTGTTACCTCCTGTTACCTCATACTCTCCTAATACAAAATAAAGAATTTAGACTAAAAATTTGTATGGGAAACGGTATTCATCTGGAGATATTAGTATGATTTTATCTATATGACAGCAGTTATTTTTTGATCTAGACAATATATTGGCCCTTGAATAGAATATATTAATTATTATATTATATATAATATTATTTGTATTATATTGTGATATAATTATAATTATAACTATAATGAAATAGAAAAAAGGAAGCTCAATATAACGTACATTGAAAATATTAAAAATAATAAGCTCAAATCATTGTTGGGCTTATATGAAGTTGTGCAAGTTGAATATACACTGACAGGCAAAAAAATCTACTTGATTTTTTCATGTTTTCATCTAAAAATATTTCTGCTTTGGATTAGTCTGTTTTTAATGAATAAATAGGTAATCTTTTTGTTTTTTTTCAATTAGGAATGTTAATATAGAGGACAATAACCCTTAATCCTTAATTCGATGAAATGATTCTAGATTCCAATGTTTATTTTCTATGGAATCAAAATGTTTATTCAGTATCATTAGTTCAGTGCTGTTTCTTGCAGCTCATTTCTTAGTCTCCAGCTTTTAATTTTTTCAATATTAAGTTTAAAAATGCCTCTTAGTGCTGAGGATGTTGCGCGTGGTGTGGCACTTATTGATGGTGGACGTTCCATTAGATATGCAGCTAATGCCATCAGAGTTCCATATGAAACTTTACGAGACGCTGTCAGGCGTTTTCGGGAAACTGGTTGTTACAATAGAAGGCCCAGTTCTGGACAGCCTAGGGTAACAGGCGTGCAAGGGTGTGGAGAAGAAGAACGAAAGATATGCAGCCTGTAATTTTTCCCAGAGCCAACATTTCCAAATTGGTTCCTTAATGGGTAACAAGTGGGTGGAATTTTTTGCCTGTTAGTGTATATATTTTGGTTATAAATTGGCAATAAAAATAATTATAATTATATAATAATATAAATTGACATTAAGGCACAATGTATAATATAGATTTTTAAAGAAATTAAAAAATTGTCAAAACAGTGATTTCGTTCAGTTTATTTTATGATGATAAAATCTGAACAAGAAAATACATATAAATTAATGTTATAAAATTTGAACAATGAGTTGTTTAATTAAATGAACAGTTGTATAATTTATAAAAAAAGGGTTAGTTTGCCCGTCAGGGGTATTTCCCTTGTTTCTAATAAAACATTTATTCATTACTTAGTATTTAATAAATTTTAATTTAAAAACCATTAGACTGAAATTGAAGTTATCCATGGCTATTTATTTCATATAACTCTGATACCTTTTGCTGGTTGTTAAATTAAAATTAGAAGACATATTAAAAATAATAATCATTCTCTTTCTTCAACTTGCAGCAAAGGAGGGTTTGCCACTTCCATCATAATGATACATTTATATTGGATATCTTCGAATCGAAAATCTTTTTGAAGAGTTCTAAGCTTCAGTTTTCTCAATATTTTTGAGAATATAGTTTTCATCAGTATTATTGAATAATACTCACCTGGAAAATATAATAATTTTTTTATTCTCATAAAATAATAGAGATAAAATCTTAGGAGGAATCACGGACCAAAGGTAACTCAAGAGGGATACAGGCTAAAATCCAATAAAGAAATATACCAAAATTTGGAAGATTTGGAAACAGTCGTCAGGACCAGAAGACTGAGGTTCTACAGGCACATGGTCAGAATGAATAGTGAAAGACAGAACAAGAAAATTGTTGACAAAGTTTGCAGCTGTAGAAGTATCGGGGGATATGTAAAACAAATAAAAGAGGAACTAGACAGGCTAAAAATTACGGATAAAGATTACTTGGATAGAGAGCTTTTTAGGGAAAAACTGAAATGGGTTGGGGTTCTTGTAGGTGGGAAGGAGAGATGAGGAAGAAAATGGAATAAGGAAGAGCGAGAGGAACAGTCCAAGAGGATGAGAGAGTATTGGAGTAAGAGGAAGGCTGAGGGAGTGAAGAGGAAACGGAAATGATATTCGCGGGGTCTTTGCTGGCCGGTTCGTGGAAAAAAAAAAATACAGGTGAAATGTGAAAAAAAAAACACTCCAGCAAAAAATGAGTATTGAGTGCACAGGATTTGAAAATTTTGGTACTTTTTAAAATAAATTGATTCGAGATAGTGTAATCTTAAAATCGATATTACTTTTAAAAAAACTAAGCCTTAGATTATACAATAATTAATCCTTATGTCGAATAAACACAAAAAGTTAAAGTAAATCAATTTAAGATGGCGCAGTATTAAAACCGATATTATTTTTTAATGGTACCCCTTAGATTAGCTCTTCTATGTTCTTTTTATTTAACGCCTCTGCCGTTGGCTATTAGGCAATTTGGCTCCTGGCAGCCCAATATAGTTCTGCCATAAAGGATTTCTCCAATTTGTTGATTCCATTGCTTGTATTTGTGGCCGTCCCATCAGAAAGAAATCTGACAGAATGGGGCATACTGGGAGGTACAGGTCGCACCACTCATCCTCTTGACAAAGAGGGAACATAGGGCTTTCCATGACTCAGATTCTATGTAAATGTCTTTGCAGATAATTGTGTCCAGTAGTCATGTTATTAATCTGAAGGATTTAAGGTGAATTTCACCAAAATGGAATACGTGGCCATCAATATTATGGGTTTATTGCAAAACTCCACTTAATATTATTAAGTGTAAACAATTAAACAAATCATTTTATATATAAAAAAAAAAAAGTCTGCCAAGTGCGGTCAGTATAGCTTCCTCCAAATTTTTATTAGTTCCACACTTATCTATACCTCATTAACTAATTCTCACGTTTCTTCTAGCTTTGAGCCAAATGGAATTGGCCGTTTCTGAAATATCCGCATATCTTAGAAAATACATTTGCGTGTGCGCAACCGAAAGTACTGTACACAATTTAATAAAATCGATACAGCTTCATTATTTATTATTCAACATTGAACCAAATCAAACAAACTTTTTCTGAAATATTGGAATATCTAAGAAAATACTTTTCCACCTTGCTAACGGAAATGCTATAAGGAATTTAATGAAATTAATATGAGACCATCTAGGCACCAATCCGCATAATACCTGAAAATTTCATAAAAATCGAATGAACGATAACGGGTGATATGCCCGTTACATTGATTTGACTACAGATAGACACCGAACCAAATTTGATCCTAGATCCTACCACGAAATCGCCACATGCTAGATTTTATCCGCTGTCCCAAATCTATCCCATCTTACGGTATATTTTTTAATGAATCAGAAACTTCAAATTCGATTTTCTCAAATTCATCAAAACGTTACTTAATGACTTTTTACAATAAACCGACGATATATACAAAAAGTAAATTGTAAAATATATTTAGTATTGGATTATTAAAAAAGGAGAATTCAATATGTCAATATTTACCTGGGCATCTTCGCATACCAATTCCAAATGGTGAGTGAGAATGTTTTAATGTCTCACTTTCTTCAAGAAAGCGATCTGGATCGAAAATTTTTGGATTCTTCCAGTGTTTTGGATCCATTCGCATGTATCTTCTTAGGAATATTACATTAGTTCCTGAAGGTATTGTTATTCCATCTGAAAATAAAAAGGTAATCATCTAATTAAGATTGACTTTTACTTTCGCTTACTATACGTAAATATAAAAATAAATTGCGATAGTAAAAAAAAAATCATTTTGTACTTTCAATAGAAAAACAAGTTTTGAGGTCCAGTGAATCCAAATAACCAAGTTTCAAGTTTTGTAAATTGGTTCGTATATATATATATATATATATATATATATATACATCAATAGAATATGGAGTGGTTCACGTCCCAGGAAATATCCTCATAACATTATTTGATCGAATTCGTCGCCCACTGCTAGCAGTTAAGCACTGTTTAATGGAATAGAAAGGAGCCTATTTCATTGGCATTTCTCGACAGTCTAGGTATGACGTCAAATCTATACTGCTCCTTTCTGACTGTTCTTGAAGCAGTGAAGATGTTGGAATTACAGCGGTTCTAGGTTATGTTTTCATATCGGAGAATTGCTGATAAAAGTCACCTTGATACTTTTCATTTTATTTTTTTGCTTCCTCATCACTGAAGGTAGGAAAGCATTGTATTCTTGTGAGAAGTTAAAAAACAATTTGTGCTCGGAATCGAAAATTTCAAAAAGATCAGATTTGGTTCAGTGACTGTCTGTAATCGAATCAATGTAACGACCATAATGCCTACTATCGTTTATTCGATTTTCATGAAATATTTATGGATTGTGTGGTTTGGTCTTATATCAACTTTATCAAATTACATTCAGCACTTCCGATTACACATGCGAAAATTTATTTTAATAGATATGCCAATATTTTAGAAATGTCTGGTTCGATTGGGCTTAATGTTAAAGAAAGACGTGTTTTCGTAAAATAATGATTCTCTATCGAATTTTTGTCCTCTGTATCTCTCAAAGCGCTAGTTTTTACTGAGTTTTCACAGACAATAAAGTATGTATCAATTTTATCAAAGTCTATCCACTACTCTTGAAACAAACCACTGCTCCAACCTCATTTTATAAAAATAATTTACAGCTAGAAATATATTTGAAGTAGAATTGTAATATAATAATACTCACTTATATTTATATCTCCACTAGCCATCTTCGCAGAAACGGCAGGGCTGAGAAACCTCAACATTTCTTTTATGACCCTTAAATAAAATCTACAATATAATTTTGAAAAATTATAATTTGAACTTATTCAACATATTTTACAAACTCAATTCAGCACTATAAATATACAGGGTGTCCCTTAAGTAGAGGGTAATATTTAAAAGGTCAATAGTAAACATCAAGATCAACAAGAAAGGTCATACAAACAATTCCCTGATTTCTAGTAGAAAAGTAGGACATTTAATACACTGACAGGCAAAAAAAAGTAGAAACGTTTCATCTGACATAAAAGGAATTCAGTGAGATGTACCTATTTAGGAACTCCATCTGTTGTATATCTTCAATGGTAGGATCTCTGTTATCATTACCAAATATTTCATATTGTTCTTTCCAAGCTCTTTCTTGAATGTCAGGAAGTAGAGATAACAAAATTATCGAGTTAGCCAAAAAACTTGTAAGACCGTTAGTAGACTGAAAAAAAAAAATAACCTGATAAATGTGTCCTATCAGTTAATAATGACCCAAAAAATACATCCCAAACTCTTCAATCATACATCACAAACCATGACGATTAGTGCCAAAACTGAAGAATTGAAATGAATCCCATCAAATTACCTTTACCTGTAAAGCTCTAATTTCCTCTCCTACAGTATCCTTTAACCATACCCCACTTATCCCTGTTGAACTAATCCATTAATTAGGACTCCATTTGGACAAATGTCTAACTTCGAATCCACATACTAGACTGAAATGACAAGAAACCAGCCGAAGTTTTCGACCACTTTAGAACTTACTAGACAAACGCTCTAAAATTTCAATTAATTAAAAATGTCTCATATACGTGACTATAATATCAGGATTAGACGGGATTTGAGCTTTGCGGCTCCACTAAACCATCGAATTCCTCTCGTATCCAATTTTTACAATTCAAAATCCTTCGAAAAATTAAATTAATGCTCCTTACTTTGTAATTAATAAAGTAATCCATAATTACCTGAATGTTCCACATGTTTCCGATTTGGCCCAATTCAGATTCCTATCGTTCCGTAATAAACTTCAGAACCATCCTCTACAGTATAATCCTATCTTTTCTAAACTTGCTTCCACCTCGATCCCTGATAACCCTCCGAGGCGTCTGAAAAGAAGTTGGCCTCGTGATCTCCTAATTTAGATACTTTATTAGAGTGCTACCAATGGGTAGGTCTCTACAAATCTTTTCATACCGTGAATTTCTCTGTATCACATTTACTTAATGTATATTTGTTTGTATACAGCTGTAAATTTCATGATTATTAATATTAATTTATCAAAATGTGACATAATGACTTTTTGCTACTGACGATATAAACAAAATGTAAATTATAACATCTAATTAGTATTGGATTATTTAACTTGGTGAATTGGTAACAATAGATAGATTATCTAGAAGACTTGGCATGTATTTATCTGTATCACATTTATTGAATGTATATTAATTTTCACAATAATAAATTTCAGAGATAATAATAATAATAATAAATGTAATGTGAGAGAACAAAAAGGATAAAGTTTATTATAATAATAATACAATGTATACAATGATTTAGCCTTGTATATTTGTATGATTTATTCTAGTATTTATAAGCAGAGATACTTGAGAGAGATCTTCTCTTTTCTATTGCTTAATACTGAACTGAGGAAAATTAAAGATTTTACACGAGGATAGCATGTTTGAATTAATAAACTAAAAATTATGGTTAAATGATGGTTACCATGGTGAAGTAACTTTCTGATCGGTTATTATTGATTTATAATAATGTGGAAATTGAACTACATACTGTGAAAAACAATTCTTGTAGCTCCTTTAGCAAGCTGTTTTTACTATTATTATTTTTTATTGATCTTGACACAATATGCATTGACAGTGAATTTTCTTTAACTAAAAAAAAAATATATACATTGATAAATAGTTCAAAATATATTATATTCTAACTTATATCAATGATTAAATAACTTGTTGACCAAGAACTAAGTCGAAATTTTGCCACTTATTTAGATAAATAACTGGTGCATGCATCACACAACTTTCATTTCTCGCTCTACTTTGAATAGAAATTATTTTTTGGTAATGTTGGGCTACTAAAAAATTTTTAAAGTGCACTTTTAACGGAGCTAAAGCTTACAGCTTACAGATAACAAATCATTTTGACCAATCACCCTACTTATTATATCGACGGTAGGCAATTATCTGATTTTATAAACTACCTAACTCCAGTCTGTGATCTATATATGCTCAGAGAAATTTAAGGTACAGTTTTCAAAAATGTTTTAGTGATAAAAATAAAGTTCGTCCATTACTACTAATTAAACAAAAAATTATTATTTATTATTATTAATACATAACATAAAATTGGACATAAAAATTAAATTTGCGATCGGTGAATTTCTTTGCAATGAGCAAATCTTTTGGCAGCTTCACAGCGTCCCATCACAATCCAGGAAATAGTTCAGTTCAGCAGTTCTCTTGGCCACCGCCTACGTAATCGTCGAGGTGGGCTGTAGGGGTTTCTAGTGCGTTTAAGGTTTTCTGTCAGTGGATTTATGTTGTAAGTTAGTCTTTAATGAAAGTTATTATAGTTTTCTTTTGCAGTGCCTAAAATTGTTGGGATGTTCAAGTCTTTATGTAATGTATCGTTTGCAACATAAAATGGTGCGTCAACTATTCTTCCTAAAATTTGGGATTGGGAAGACTGGATTTTTTTAATATTAGAAGGTTTCGCAGAACCCCACAGTTCTATGCCATAAGTCCAAATTGGTTTTAGTAAAACTTTATAGAGCGTTAGTTTGTTAGTCAAAGGTAATTTTTTTAACGTCTGTCAAGTAACCTAGATAAAAGACCCTATCGTCTGTTTAATTCCATACGTTTTTGTCTAATGTGTGTCCTCCAAGATAGTCTTTGTCGAGGTAAAAACCCAAATATTTAATTACATCGGATGAATTTCAATGTTATTAAAATATATTTCGGGAGAAGGGGTATGATCAAGAGTGAATACTACGTACACACTTTTTTTTTTCATTCATTTTAATTTTCCACCTTGTGGCCGTATCAGCAATATCGTTCAAGTCGTTTTGAAGATTGGTGGATACTCGAATAGGATTTTTATCTGAATTTAGGATTGCGGTATCGGCAGCAAAAGTAGGCAGTAGGGTGTCACTGTGTTGCGGTAGGTCAGATATATATTATATATTAAACAATATTGGTCCCAGGACACTACCCTGAGGTACTCCTACGTTAATAGATTTAATGTCTGAATGTTCTGTCCCTACTTTTACTACAAAATGAATGTCTGTTAAATATGAGAGTAGTATTAAATAATAGGTGGGAGAAAATAAAATTTTAAGTTTGGAAAGCAATCCTTCATGCCAAACTTTATCGAAAGCTTGACTGATGTCAAGAAAAACTCCAGGACAATAATTTTTAGATTCTAAAGAATTAGAAATATAATCTACTAATCAATGGCATTGTTGAACAGTATAATGATGCTTTCTGAAACCGAATTGATTATTTGGAATACATTTAAATATATCAAGAGAATCGAGACGACGAAGAATATTTTTTTTCAAATAATTTAGAAAAGCAAGGAAGAAGGCTGATTGGACGATACGAATTTGGAGAGTCTAAAGATTTGTTAGCTTTTAATACCATGACAACTTCAGAATATTTCCTAAGGGTTGGGAAATGGGTGATTCTCAGTATAGAATTGTATATATTTGTTAGAAAAAGTAATTGTTAAGCTACTATTTATATTAATTTATAATATGATTGTGTTTATTAATCCAGATACTTATTCTATTACTAATATCTTAGGTGTATTATGCACCCCTCAAGGTATATTTATGTAGTCTAAAAGCACCAATAGAGTACCAAGGTACCAAGGAATATAAATGTCAACAGTTTTATTTCGTCATTCCAAATCAAACATTGTCAGCTACTGATACAGCGAAATTATTCTCAATATTTACAATTATTTAGAATTTAAATGGATGTTTCATGTATTCGAATCGTGTCTTGGTAATGTGAGAAGTAAGTCTATAAGGCGAATCCAAGAAAAATACAATAACATCAATATTGTATCGTAAAATTTCAAAGAAATTTCCTTAACCATATCAGCTATTGGTGCATTTATCCTACATCTTTCAATATAATATTTTTAATTCAATATTTAGCCTTTATAATGACCCGCACCTTTTTTGTTCCTTACTAAAACATAAAGTCAGCTATTTATTATACAAACATTATGGAATTGTATTCAGTATTATGAACGTTTCGAAATGAATCAATTGATCTTACTTGGAAGAGAATCTTGTATTGATTTGAATGTATTATCTTTCCTTCCGAAAATCTAAAACAATATAAAATGTAATATATTACAGAATGACATATTATATAAAATGTTAGTATAATATAAAGAATAATTCGCATGGTACATGGTTCAGTCACCAAGTATTAGTAAATAAATATTTATTGTTATTTTATTACGAGTTGTATTGGGTCGTTTCATATGAAATGTCAGTTTTCACAGGAGTGGTTATTTATTAAAAGAACATAATGAAATCAAAATATTTATCCTCATTTTTATTCATTTTCTCCAACGTGTTATCAACTATCCAATACCATTACTAGAATATTTATTTTTTTGTAAAGAAATGAACTTATAATATGCGTTTTTAACCTGAGAATCATTATCAAAAAATTTATTTTTCAGGAAGTTGTAAAAATGTCTGAACAGATTAAAATCTTTTAGAGATAAGTCTGGCGAATACGGTGGATGTGGAAGTACTTTGTAACACAGCTCGTATAGTTTCTTCACTTTCTGTTGTGAAACATGAGGTCGTCGTATAAGAGTATTGGTCCCTTCCGATTAACCAATGTTTTTGACATGTTTTTATGGATTATGCATCAAGGGATGAGCAATGTCTTAAGATTTTTGAAAATAAAGTATTGCGTAGAATATTTGGACCAAAGAAGGATGAATTAACTGGAGAGCTCAGATGGTTGCACAACGCCGAGTTGCGTGAACTGTATCCGGTTAATATAATTGAGATGATTTCATCACGGCGAATCAAATTGGCTTGTAAAATTGTTGGGCTTAGTGAAGACCGACTTCCAAAAAGATTAATATTTGCTGTACCAAATGGTAAACGTCCGAGGGGTAGACCGAATTGACTGGGTTTGGACAGCGAACGGTGGAGGGAGGTGTGTAATAAGCGATTGGTGGTGTCAGCATCAAACCTTCGGGTTCGCTAAGCATTTTATTATTATTTTATGAATTATGTCAATATCATTGCAGTAAAATGTGGATGTAAAACAATACTGTGTGTATACCTGGTCATATTTGATGACATGCTAAACGAAGTGCAATCAATTGGAATGTTAGTAAAAAACCGTTGATTAATAACGCTAATTATAATCAATCAACATAAACGTAATAAACAACAAAAGGGCACTAGTCCCACTTGAATTTCTGGAATAATAAAAACGTTTCATTTCATATGAAATGACCTAATAATTATCATTGCGTTCAAAATTTTTTATATTAAAACATTCAAAAAACAGGTTATTGGCTTTATTTTCTTTTGAATTGTTCAGTTTACAAAACTACAATGACACTGACATGAATACTATTAGCATAAAATCTACGAGAGTAGCTGATGTTGCTTAGTGAGTGAGAGATGAAGAATTTAAAAGAAAAAAAAAATGAAACGTAATTGTATTACTTTGTTGTAGTTTGCATAATAATCCTATATATTATTTCTAATAGGTGTTTTTTTGTTGTTACTCCATAACTTCGTCAATTCTACATCATATCCAACGATTGACCACTCATTTTGAAGATCTTCTTCTCCTTCACATGCAAAAAATAGTCCTATCCTCCCGAAATTTCTGGAAGCAAGTTCGTGAGGGACCAGTCTACTGCTCTTAATCACCTTCCGCATGGAGATTAGATGGCGATTAACAGTATATTCCGACACATCACACTCCCTGGCAAGTTCGTGAGTACTTATGGACGGATTTGACTCAACAGCTTTCTACAGAACCTCATCAATATCCATTAATGCTCATACGGAGCTCTTCATCCTTTCAAAAGTCGTATCTCCACGACTATTTTTTTCAAACCATCGCCGCGCAGTGCGCTGATCAAGGACACCTTTCCCTTCATATTTAATAAATTCACGAGTTGATGCAGCGATTGTGAAAATTTTTTTCAGTAATGCCTTAAAATTGCGTGAATTTCATAGGACACTGTCATGTCTTTTCTTTGAAACAAATAACTAAACTGAGGATTTTTATGAAGATGTCGAATGGGACTAAACATGGTTAGAGAATGTTCTAAACGGATTATTAAGTATTGGTAAGTATTAAATAGGATTAAAGTATTTACGGTCCTTTGAAATCCTGAATTTGATAAAATAATCATTTTTTTTATGCAACTTATTATAATGGATTTAAAGTGTATAATTAATAAAAATATTTACCATTTTCCGCAACTCTCCTGCTTTTGGATAGAATATTTCATCTATTGGTCGAAATATAGTCAAAATTGGTTCTGCTAATTCCGGATTGACTATAATATATTGTGCTATAATTTTTAACCTAAAAAATATGATATTATTCAATGTTGCTGTTTGGGTCTAGAGTATTATTTTAGAACATAGAAACATAGAAGAGGAACCTGTGATCTCCGCGAGTTTTTGTGTTGTAAGACTAGATATGGTATAAATTAATAATACATATATTGACAGTAGGAACATTAAAATTTATATTTCTGTTGAAGGAAATTAATAGAAAAAAAATTAACAACTGTGAAATGAAAAAAAAAAAACGTACATACTTTTTTTTTTCGTTTTTGTGCTCAAATTATCTCACGTTCAAGTGGAAAGGAAATGGCTATTTACGAGTTTTTAGTTAATTAAATAAACGCCATAAATTAAAACGAAACGACAGGAAATTAATATTCCATATTTCTAGTCTATAATATTACGAATCCGCAGCTAAAATATAGTTAATTTGTTTGATCACATAATTCTGCCTTATGTTAGAAGAAAGAACCATCCACTCTATTTTACATTAAATATGAATTCTATATCTTACCATTTCATTAAATTAATAATTTTGGGATGATAAACTAAACTGTTTTCATTACCAAATATAGTTCCTGAAAAGATGCTCCGAATTAGCATTTAATGGCATTAATTAATTTTAATTTAATTTAATTAATTAATTTTTTGACTATATTAAAATATAACACAAATATTTTATAATTTATTTACTAACTCACCCATAGAGGTATTTAATAATGGTCCAATTATCAAATGATTTACATCAATAGCTGAAGGCGAGTCCAACATCAAATCAACCAGTTCATCAGCGGTTTTAATAAACCTATTGAAGTATTCTCTGTCTACGTTCGATTTTCTCAAAAAAATATTATATTCCTTTCTTTTCAGTTTCCATTCAGCACCAGCATCTGGAACAGAAATAATGATATAATAATATTATAATGATTATATTAATATTAAAATAAGGATTATTCCTGCGTACTTCTGAGTAAGTATATACCATCTTTAGATGGAAATAGAAATAGAAAATAACTTTATTCTGGGACAAAGTCCCTTAAGAATAACAAATAGAACATAATTAAAATACTACATCTGGCCAAAATAAAACAATAATAAAAAAGAGAAAGTAAAGAAAATATTAGTTAAACAAGCTATATACAAAAAAAAAAAAAAATCTATATACAAAACACTTAAAACTATGATAAAACACTTAAGACTATGTACAGTAGGAAAAATTATAATTATACTCTTTTGAAAAATAAAATAATAAAAAATAGATAGAGTTCTTCTTTAAAATGAGGTGTGTTTCTGCTAACAAATAAAAAACAAAGCTGACAATATAAAACATCAGTGTCTTTAAATAATGAATAATATCTAGACTCGTCATTGTCAAATGCTAGAGGTACAGATTTAATCATATACCAATAAAAAATAATAAGAAAAAAAAAAAAAGAGCAAACAATAGATGCGGTCAGTGGCATTAAGAGCCGGAAAATATTGTAATATCCTAGTGAAGTTCACAGTATAGAATAGCACTATCGTTTGATGATGACTAGAAATGTATAATATCGAAAGTTTAGCAAGTATCTGACTGGTTTAGGGATAGGAATTGGAATAGGAGGGATTTGAATGTGGATATGGAGGGGGAATGCCGAATTTTGATAGATAGAGAATTCCAGAAATTGACAGCGCGAGCTATAAAGGAATTCTGAAAGGAGGCAGATCTGTGCGAAGGGATGTAGAGGTCAGAAGGTCGAGATCTTGTTGAAAGGAAATGGAATGAGGACTTGAATTGGAGAAGGTTGTAGGTGTAAGAAGGACGATGGTTGTTAATGATTTGATAGAGGAACGTACCTAGGAAATATTGTATTCTAAAGGAGGGGAAGAGCCACCTTAATTCAGTGTAGTGGTGAGAGACATGGGAGTATCTCGGGGCACCGATAACAAATCTTACGCAGCTTTTCATTAATCTTTTCAGTCTATCACGGAGCTCCACCGAGAGGCCATCATACACCACACAGCTGTAGTCAAAGTGGGGGAAGATGAGAGAGGAAATTAGGAGTCTACGGGTATGTTGAGGTAGCAGATGGCGGAAGCGATGAAATAGTTTAAGGGTAGAAATTGTCTTACGGGAAATGTGAGAAATATGGTAGTCCCAGGAGAGGGTTTGATCTATGAATAATCCTAAATTTTTAACAGAGGAGTAGAAGGAAATTGGCTGGTCATTAAGGTGTAATATGGGAAAGTCCGTATGGGATCTAATATGGGGCTTGGAACCAATTACAATGTTATCGGTCCAAATCCAGTCAATAGTCCGGTTAAAAAGGAATACGGAGTCCATTTGTAGCCTGAATGGGGCACTTTAGCACTGTCTCAGGTCAGTAGTGACTGTTTTTCACCTACGCATAGTGTAACGTCCAATTAACAAAAACCTGAATTTTTATTTTCTTATATTAATAACTTTAAATTCTCTAGTTACGTTGAGAAACTATTCAAGGAATTATAATCGTAAAAAACCAATAAATATTATTTTTATTTTGATCAATAAACACATTAGCAGTATTGTAAACAAAAGTCTTCAAAATCTGTTTCATAGCAACAATCAGTTTAAACCTCTCTCGTTGAAGATAGAACAGTGTTTTGATTAACTGATCCGAAGAAAATGCCGTCAAAACTATTCCTTTTTTATCTGATATAATTTATTATAGGCAAGTACTCTTTTATTATTTATCATGTATTTTTCTTCATTGATCTTCGACATTTTTTTTAAGTTTATAATTTTGATGGACCATAGCAAAAAAAACTTCCAAAACATGTACCCAAGTTTTTTAGAGAATCATGTTTACCACAAATATAATGTGCTGAGGGCAATTTAATTTGCCGATTCCAACTTTTTTTATTTTTTATTTTCAGATCCATCATAATAAAATTTTTTTTTCTTACAAATTTGGAGAAATGTGGATAAATTCAAGAAAACAGAATCAATCTTTGAGCGAATACTGAGAAAATTTGATCTGCACGATGCTCCTAAAGAAATATTGAGCAATATTAGAAAGACTTTCAGTTGGCAACCCCTTTATCTTGATATGGATACAACAGGCTCACACCCTATTTACCCGAGATTTAAAACATAGAAAGTATAGAAATAAATAGAGCCGATACAAGACCAGTCGCGGAAAAATGTTTATCACTCTAGGAACATGAAATGCGAAGGGTATCAAAAGAAAAGAGATGGAATCGGTCAAAGAATTAAAGAAAGCCCTAATACCCATAGTTGGCCTTACGGGGAACAAAAAAGGAGTGAACTCAGGAATCAACTATCAGGAGCATGCAAAAGGCGGAGTAGGCTGCATAATCCATAAAGAATTGACTCCGAACATTTTGGATTTTAGAGAAATAAATGAAAGGAAAGTGCAACTAAAATTAGGGTATATCTAATATACAGTAATTATTGCATAGGGGCGAGGTGGCCGAACAACCAGAACAACGGCTAACGTGTGTGAACAGGATCGCAAGTTGTCCGGCAACCAGATTACCAAGTTTTGAGATTGAAGAAAAGTACGAGTTCGGAGGGGATTTTGAATTCCCCGCCATCGCTCTCCGGCTCGAGAAAATCCCGTATAGCCTAAAAGGCTAGGTAGGGAAGAACAGGAAAAAAAAAACAGTAATTATTGCATACGACCCCAGTGAAAATGTGAGTACTAGGGAAAAGAAACTTCCTTTGAAGACCTGCAGAAGATAATAGGTGATAGCAAAGGAGCCAATATCATTATGGGTGACCTCAATGGTAGAGTCGGCAGAGACATCAACAGATAGCACGTAATGAAAGGAAAAAAAACGGAGAGAATTGTAGTAGCGACAATGGGAAAAACATTTTGGTTCTCTGCTTCGAAAATGACATGATTGCGCCAAACAGTTTTTCCCCACAATTAAATTCACAAAATCACGAGAATCGAACCCTCCAGAAATTAACAATTTCTTCTTTTTGGACCAAATTCAACAGCATAAAACAATTAGTCGAAGACTAATTTCAGATCCCAAAAGAGGAATAAAAAACAGCATGAGACGCTACAGTCAAGAAAGGAGCCGCGATGGGGACAGACCATTTGGGCTGCTGAAACTGGAAATGATACTGGAAAACAAATCTATAAATAGAAAAATATCAGGCCCCACCAAAATATTTAGGAAGACCGAAGAATTAGCTGAAGCATACAAAACAAATGTAGAAGAAAAAGCGGCTAACAATCAACACATTTCCAACACCGAAGACTTCCAAAAAAGTTGTAATGCGATAACATATATTGCTGGATGCTGCAGAAGAGGTTTACGGGAAGATCATAAAAGGCCAGGAACTAAAAAGAACTTCCTGGTGGAATAAAAATGTAAAACTCGAAATAAAACAGAAAAAAAAAAAAAAGAGTTTTGGAAACGCTATCTACAAACAATAAGCCCAGGCGATCGCACAAAATACAAAGAAGAGAGGAAAATTGCAAAATGAAAGCCCATGCAATCGAAAAGAAAAACATGGGAAGATTATGGAAAACGTTGGAAGAAGAAGCCCATGGAGATCAAAAGCTCTTCAATGTCTTCCAAACATGCTTAAAGAGAAGAAGCCTGTCAAAAAAAAATATAACAGACAAGGAAGGTAATATTCTCACTAATAGTAAGGAAATGATAGTAGGTGGAGCGTTCTGATCGTGAATGTCATGTCCAACGTACAGTTTATATAATCTAGCATGACAAAAGTCAATGTAACTGAATTAATTTATTTCAAAATTAAAATTTATTTCAATGTTATTTTAGAAGTATTTTAATCTATAAAATGTTTTATATGCAATTAAAAGATAGAATGACATAATGTATCTATTGTTTCTGGCTCCTAATAAAAATAATAAAAAAAAAAATAGAAATCAATGAAATGTTTTTGTTTTTTTTATTATTATTTTATTGAAATTTACAACTCTATTACATGGAAAATACAATAACTAAATGTGACATTGGTAACATGACATGTACAACATGAAGAGAAAATACCCATTGGTAGAACTCAAATTAAAGTTCTATATTAGAAGGTCCCAAGGCCATCTTCTTTTCAGACGCCTCGGAGGATTATCGAAGAGGAAGCAAGGTTTGAAACGAGAGGATTCGGATGGTTCTGTAGTTTTTTATGGAAGGATAGGTATCTGGATTGGGTCAGATCGGAAACATATGGAACATTAAGGTCGTTATGGATGATTTTGTTTGTAACAATGTAGGGAGCAGTGAGGATTTTACGAAGGATTTTGGATTGTAAGGATTGGATACGAGAGGAATTTGATGGTTTAGTGGAGCCCCAAAACTCAATTCCGTAAGTCCAAATAGGTCTTATTATTGTCATGTATATGAGTCGTTTGTAATTGATTGAAAGCTTAAGCAGACCCTACACGGTAATTCATGAATGAACGTCACAAGAAGTTCCAAGATTACCCGCTATCGCTTTGATCATGAAGACCCTTACACGTTCAATCATTACTGATCATTACTTATCGTTGCTGATTTAGGTTAGATCGTTGCTGACCAATTTAGCGCAGTAGTAAACAAAGAAACAGCATAGATATGCTTATTTGGACATTGTCATTTATAATATTGGGCATCAAGAGAAAAACAGAGATATAATAATTACTTCCTAGTGCCTGAAAATCGTTTAGACCAAAGTTAGTCCAAAATATAAGTCAACTACATACAAAAATCTATGAAAAGTATTGCGAAAATAATCAATTTGTTAAGAAAAATGGAAAAATTATTGGCAAATAAACACAACAGTTAAAGATTTTTTTTCTATAAGTAAATTGTGAAGTTTACACTTTTTTCCTCTCCAATTTATTGCCTACTTGACTATTTAAAGAAAAAATAGTTGAAAATGGTTAATAATAATATATACTAGGGATATAAACAACTAGTTACTTTTATGAAATTATTTACTTAATAACGAGACCTAGGTAAACTAACCTATCTAGTAGTAAGGTTAGTCTCATAGAAAATCGTTTTGACAAAAGTTAGTAAAATATAAGTCTACTACTTACAAAAATTGAGGAAAGGTATTGCGAAAATAATAAATTTGTTGAGGAAAATGGGAAAAGAACTGATTGAATATACACAACGTTAAAGTTTTTTTTTCCTTTCAAGTAAATTGTGAAGTTTCCTCATTTTTTTTTTTAATTTGTTGCCCACTTGACTATTTAAAAGAAATAGTTGAAGATGTTTTAAAATTTTAAACAAGGGATATGAAAAATTATCTAACTATTTACATATAATGAAAATCATAAATTTATAATGGTTGTGAGGCCTGGGTAACCTAACCTAACCAGCAGTATGGTCAGTCTCCCCACTACTTTTACCTCAGTCCCCCCTCCACTTCTCGTGAATGAACCTTTGATTTCCGGATGTTCGGAAATCCGCAGCGCACCACCATCAGTACTTCATTCACTACCTTACACGACAATTCGGAACGTCATTAGCACGGGCGGATCTATGGGGGGGGAGGGGGCTTTCGGGCTGAAGTTGGTTCTGAAGGGGGTTTCTAGTCGTTTCAGTCTGGTATGGGGGTTCAAGGATATGTAAACAAAAAATAGTGCAGTTTACTACGCTACATATTACAATATTTATGTATCACAGCGAGTCATATTGGTCCATATTTAATTCTCTGAAGTCTCAACATTTTAAATTTATTCAAATGTCAAAACATTATCCTCTTGTATTTATTTTGGTCTTTATGAAAATTGTGTTCTTCTTCTTGTTCAAGTTGTTTGGAAATATTGCTTACGTTAACAAACAAATTGTATTTCTTGTATGCCGATATCAATTTACTACTTACGGAAGTTGAGAAAAGGTCCTCGGAAGTAGGGAGCAAGACCTCGCAATATTACGTCAGATAAATCATACAGATTGCGATGGAATACTATTTCCTGAATAAAAAATAAATATTAATAATATATCAGAAATATAATAATATCAATACTAATACTTATAAATGGCTTAGCATATCCAACAATGGTACGATTCTCATAACACCAGTCATATTTTATAAACATTTAAACCCATATCTCAAAGCCTAGATCAGCCTAAACCAAAATTCACGACTAAAGTTTCTTGTTCTTCGTTCAGTTCGCCACTTATAAAGACGCATCATTATGATAAAAATCTGAAAGAAAACCAAAATTTCATAATCATCGTACATGAAAAATAATTGTAAAATCGTTATTTTTGTCTTTATAAATAAAGAAAAAATAAATAAATAAAGTTCATTACAATACATCCCACGACACGGAAAAAATATCTGGTGTGTCCACTCACACAACTTTCCTACCTATTTCAGAAAAGTTTTTATATCTTTACATACGTTTATGAAGAAACGAAAAAGAATTGAACTAGATACATTTTCCTGAAAATTGATCAAACATAAGATATGTGTACGATTTATTTGATAAACTAAAGTAATGTAAACCGGCTTAAGGTAGACCAGTGTAGAAATTTCAATACTCACTAATATTGCTGATCAAAAACTTTTTGTCATCGCTTAGTATTGTCAAACAATAATTTCTGTTAAAAGCAGAGGAAATACCTGGATGGAACTCAATGACCTTAATTGAGGCAAACTGTTTTGTTTTTTTCTCTCAATGAACTATTATTAGTAAATTCTGTAACTGGAGGCAATATTTATAATTGTTGAAACAAGCACGGTGTAATTTGGCGAGTTCCCTGCCCCCCCAAAAAAATTCCCCCCCCCCTGCTTTCATATCACATGTAGCCATAACCTTCCATGAATAGTCGAAAAATACGTCCATAGTTTACTTTTATAGAACACTAATGATACCTAGGTTTATAAATTATGGTATATAATTACATATGTCTTCCTCTTCTTCTTTGAAAGCTAACTCATCATTAGGTGATGTTTATCTCGCTGTAGTTTATTCTATAATGATATAAAAAAACACTGCAAATTAATTCATAACGGTTTATTATTTCCAAACAATTATACATTTAAAGTAACATTACTTTAGTAACAAAGAAAAAGTAATAAAAGGTGGTTTTTACAAATATAGGCCTAAACATTGTTTTTTCGTCACTAGTAATTTGCTTAAAAAATTACTTCATTACTTCAATAACACTTTGAAAAATCAAAAACAAAGGATATAACATTTGTAGTAGAACAAATAAAAAATATCTAGAGGCCACATTTTTGCTCCAGATTGTCCGATTTTACCGATTTTTTTTTTCTTTTCCGAAATTTTCTAAAATTGTAAATAACCATATACAAAATTGAAATATCTAGTGTGTCCACTCACACGACATTCCTATCTATTTTATATCTTTACATATGTCCATGAAGAAACAAAAAAGAATTGAACTAGATTTACTTTCCTTAAAATTGATTGAACAAAAGATTTGAGTGCGATTTATTTGATAAACTAAACCAATGTAAAACGACGTAAGGTAGATCAGTGTAAAAATTTCAATAGTCATTAATATTGCTGATCAAAAACTTTTTGCCATAGATTAGTATTGTCAAACAATAATTTCTGTTAAATGTAGAGAAAATAGTGAAAATTGTGTGATGCGGGCAACAGATTTTCTTACTTTCACTTAGTCATCTTTATTCTCTCATTCATCCCTTTCTGACACCAGGATATGAAACCGTAATCTTACATTGGAAATCGAATAGCTATAACTTCGTTAATAGTGGTCCAAAATGAACGATTTTTATGTGGCTATGTAAGGAATTTCATTACCTTTATGTATTTTCCGGATTGCAATACTTTCCTTACCTAGTATAGGGAGGAAAGTAATAAGTTAAAAAAATGTGTAAAAAATAGAATAAGCTGTATCATCGCTAATACTGGTTCGATTCCGATGATTTTTTTTTTTTTTTTTTTGGTAATTTAATTATCTTTTAAAAGTTTTATTATAAATGTTACCATTGACTATATTCTTAGCGAGTTAGGCCCCGAAACATTTTTATAACTTTTTTTCCCAAATTTCCTTGGGAATTTATTTCATGTACAAAAATTGAAAGGAGAATTATTAGAACATTGTAGGAAAGTTTCATCAAAATCGTTAGAGCCGTTTTAGTCTATAGAAAAACCTGTACTTCACATATTTCGCAGTAGCTATTGCGCACGGAGCACCCATATTGTGTCACAGCCATCAGAAGTCAAAACCATACAAAATAAAAAAAGAAGCAACAAAATCGGTTCACTTGCCGAGAAGGTTGCCGAGAAAATTTTAGCACAGACAGACAGATAGACCAATGGCTAAAAATGTGTTTTTCGTACTCAGGGGACTCTGAAACGTATAGATCCGTCGAAAACCGCATATAGGAAATTTGATCCGATCGTAATACTTTTCTTACATAGTATAGGTAGTAAACTAAAAATAGCTAGGACTCCCAAAAAAAAAAATCTTACATTTCCTACTTCTATATTGTAAAATAGGCAATTGTTTGTATATATATATTTTTTAGATGTTTATATCTACTATCAACCTTTTAAATATTCCCCTCTACGCCCTCTGTATGTATATATATTAATCAAATAATACCTTCACTACACGAGGACATGTAACAAACACCACCGTCTTGAAACCATTACACCAATGGAAGCATAACCCATCTTTTCCGTATTTTTGAGCGACTCTATCCATACGATTGGCCACACCTAAACAAGAGACAGTTTTATTTCAACTCACATTTTATATAACAGGATTTCATGGAGTTTTTTTTATCTTAGCAATAAAATAATATTGTTATGTTAATACATGATGTTAATATACATGATAGAAAAGGATTTCTCTACAGTCGAAATTCTTCATATTGCCTCAGACAAACAATTCTCGATACTATATAATACAACAACACAGTTTAAAAAATGCTGGTCTAGCTTTGAAAAGGTTCTAACTAAAAAATTTAAACAAATTGAGTTTTCACTTACAACAAAGTTATCTATGTTCCAAATCAATTTTGATGCCGGCAGTATAGAAATAAATAAACTAGCAGTGATACATAGTTTTAAATACAAACAAATTTTGAAAGAAATTGGTTTGAGGAGGTTCTAAATGTTATACGATGTAGGTAGCTGTACTCGGTTTATAATTACTTTAATGAGAGTTAAACATGAAACTATATCATTTATATTATTATTTATTTGTTTATTCATAAATATTACAATCTGTCTCAATAAAGGACATTATATTATTAGTATAGATATGTTACTTGTGTATAATATATCTTAATAGGTTATTTCAGGAACGACGTATGTGAAATTTACATAAGTTAAAAAAAATATTATAATAAAATTCAGGAAGAAAAGAAAAGAAAAATGTATATGTATATACTGTAAATAAACAAATTTTGCATTTTTTTTTGTTGGTTTTAGTAATGCATATATCATTAGATGATTAGCATTTTTTTTTATTACTCAGATGTCATATTTCTGTCTTTTTTCTTTAATTATAACTATTGGGTTGGCAAATAAGTCCTTTCGGATTTTCAGGGTGAAATAAAACTCAATGTACCATAGATATAAAACTTATTTTAATATACAATATATTGACCATTATTTAATATGACTTTTTCCCATCTTTCCACTAACTGCATAATGCCATGCTCATAGAATGTATGAAGTTTATTGTTAAAAAACTGATACAAGTGGTTTTTGATGTCCTCTTCCTTTTGGAATTTCTTTTTGGAAATAGGGAGGTTGGGACAAAAGGTCCTATCCAAGACTCAATAATTTATTGCGAGTGACCAATGAGCTTTGGGGCCTAGCTTTGTCTTGATGGAACACAACAACCTTCCGATAATTCATAACTCTTCAAGATGTTCACCGAATTCGATGCTACTATATCTGTTGGAAAGCTCAATTATTGCACTTCAAAGCCGTATGATTTTTTTTTTATGTAATGCCTATATAAGGAATAAATAAACAAAAAACTCTTATCTGGCCCTATATTCCTGCTAAATTTCTTGTGGATAGCTAAAGTCACATTGAAGTTATTAACGTAACATTTTTTGTGATTTTAGAATAATCCTAAATGAAGAATTCCTAAATGAAATTTGGCAAACCAATTTTGACAGGTGCATTCGGTTAAGGCGTCATCACCATAAACACTCCACATTTTTCTATGAGCTTCTGCAGCACGCTTCCCCTTTTTAAAATAATACAACAAAATATGACGATAATGAATGATATTTTCTTCCATATTCACAGTGTAATAGCAAACACAATACTAAGTTAGTTTCAATAAGAAATAATAGATATAGTTAGTTGTTGGCATATTACAATCAGGTTAAACAATCCACCTTAGGGATTGATTCATCAGATAAGAAGTGTATCATAGTGACATAAAAATAAACAGAAAAACCTAAAGGACTTATTGTATAAATATATATTTATACACACATATATATATATATATATATATATATATATATATATATAATATATATATATATATATATATATATATATATATATATATATATATATATATGTATATATATATATATATATATATATGTATATATATATATATATATATATATATACATATATACCATATGTATATATATACATATATAATTTAGTAGGAATTTAGGGCAACATAAACTAAACAAAATGACATCAACAGGACCTTCCTAAACAAACTATAAATTTAAATAAAAAATAAAAACCTATAAGAAGTTTTTGTTTATTTATTACTAATATAGCCATTAAACCAAAAAAACATTTATACGGCTTTGAAGAGCAATAATTCAGGTTTTCAACGAATATAATAGCATCGAATTTGGTGAATATCCTAAGAGTTATGAATTATTGGAAGGGTGTTGTGTTCCATCAAGACAACGCTAGGTCCCACACCATCATTGGTCACTCGCAATAAATTATTGAGCCTTGGATGCGACCTTTTTCCCCACCCTCCTTATTCACCAGACCTAGCTCAAAGTGTCTACCACTTATTCCGCTCTCTGCAGAACTCCACGAATGGAAAGAAATTCCAAAAGGAAGAGGACATAAAAAACGACTTGAATGAGTTTTTAACAATAAACTTCATACATTCTATGAACACGGCATTATTCAGTTAGTGGAAAGATGGGAAAAGTCATATTAAATAATGGTCAATATATTGTAAATTAAAATAAGTTTTATATCTATGATACATTGAGTTTTATTTCACCCTGAAAACTCCGAAAGGACTTATTTGCCAACCCAATAGTTATAATTTAAGAAAAAAGACAGAAATATGGTTTGGGACAGATACAACATCTGAGTAATAAAAAAAAATGCTAATCATCTAATAATATATGCTATATATATATATATATATATATATATAATATATATATATATATATATATATATATATATGCAGTCGTTAGTTTAATTACCCATGTCCTTCTCTTACTTACTTTCTGAAGAGACTAGCAACAGAGTTCTGTAGAAGTAGTAGAGGTTTCCGAAAACAGGAAAACCCAGAAGACCAGGATAAGAATATAGCTTTCGGACCCGAAGCCACAGTAGCAGGCCCAAGGCGAGGTGAGCCACCACAATTATAACAGCTGCGGTTGCAAACATCTCCATCTTCCTGAAAATGTATAAATGTAAAATTTATTTATCAATTATTCCTACGTTATTAATAATCAAGTTTTGAATAATGGTTGTTTTAAGTAAAAGAAGATTTTCAATTTCTTATTACACATTATATAGGTTGTAAATGCTCATTTGTCCGTAATCGCTTATCTCCAAAAGTTCTTCACCTATTGCTTTGAAATTTTGACGCAACATAGGAATCAAATTCAGTAGTGTTCTTAAACATATTACCATCCGACCTGTTCTTTTGAAATATTTGTCGCTAGAGACCGTTGCCCGAAACGGCTGTAACGATTTTAATGAATCTACAGTCTTCTTCTTGAAGCGTAGGCGCAGACTATGGAAGGGAGCAATGGGGTCGATCCGCTCCTCCCCCCCCATAAAAAAAGAAAGGGGCGAAAATATTTTTTCGCCTTCTCTCATCCTAAATATTTTGAAGAACGAAAACAGAATAGAAATAAATAAAATTGTAAGGTTTATGACTATGTTGATCATAAGCAGTTCTTCTTTTAACCTGTTGTTGTGTTAGAGATTCCTATCGTCTTATGAGAAAATGACAATGTCATCGGCAAATGCAAGAAGTAATTGTTTCACTGGTCTTAGATTGGGATATTCTAGGTGGAATTTCCTTATATTTTCCATGGTTCTCCGAATAGCTGCATCCATAACTAAAATGAACAGTAGAGTACTCAAGCTGCAACCTTGCCGAAATCCTATCATGGTTTCGATTTCTTGATATGTACAATTGGCAGACCATACGCTTCTTGTTCTCTTATACAAACCTTCCACCGCCAGTATATGTCCTTGATCTACTCCCTTATCTCTTAAGGCCTCTGAGATATCCGTTTTCAATACTGAGTTAAATGTTTTTATAATGTCAACAAAGCATACTGCAATTTTATTATATTTTTCTAATACTTTTTCAAAGACCTGTTTTATTGTAAATATAAGGCCTTGGGTACTGCGATTTTCTCGAAATCCGTGTAGTTCTTCTTCTAATAATCTTTCGACGCTTCTTCTTAGTCTCTTATCCACGATCTTGAAATATATTTGGCTTGGTCTGCTTAGGAGAGATATTCCACGGTTATTATTTCAAAATCTGTTGTCTCCTTTCTTAATGAGTGGAACTACTTCCAATCTTTCGGTATTTTCTTCTGCTTCCACACTAGGTTTAAAAAGTGCAGCATCATTTCTTTTCCTTTTATTCCTGTTAGGATTCTGTGTAATGACAAACGTCCAAGACAACTTAGCCTATAGCATGCGCAAGCTGATGCAACCTATTTGGATCCAGAGATCGATTGTAGCCGCCTGTTGTTTTTAGTGCTAGCACAATTGTTTAACACGCTACATTGTTTTTTATTGGTTCACTAGTTAATGAACATTAGTTATTATTATTAGTGGCCTGCATGCACTCAAAAATAACAGTACTTTTAATTTAGTTATTCATATTCAGTTTTAGTAATTGTAAAGCATTTTTGTCAGTAGTGTACAAATTTTAGTTAAACTTTAGTTGATTTCTTGCTTTCTTATTTGTTTCTATATTATTCCATGTGCATTCAGAGGTATGTTTTTATTTTCTAATTTTTATTTATTTTTTTTTATTGTAAATAGAGTGTGAGTGTGCTTTCTCTGAACACTATTATAAATGTCCTTGATGTGACAGAATGTAATATTTCTAAATAAATAAATAAATAAAAATTTTCTAATTTTGATTTTACCAAAACGTTTTTATGTATTAAAGTTTTTTTGTATGTAGTTTTTTATTGAACGAACCCGCAGAATCCTTAAATTCCCATTTATTTCAGCATTTAGGGAGTTATTTCGTCCTAACCTGCAGATTTTCCCAGCTTTATACTCTGTAGCGCTTCCTCTAATTCGTCTTCCTCGACAAACCTACAACCATACATATCAAAAATAATGTGGATAGATAAGAAGCCACGAAGAATTATGTGTGTCATTGAAAATATGGTTCTCGAACTAGTGGAAAGTTTTAAAATACCTAGGTGCGCACCTGAATGAAAATAGATATATTGACACAGAGGTTATTAAGAGAATGACAAGTGCTGGCGGAATGTTTGAAGCCATCAAGAGGGATTTCCTGAACAGATGAGAAATGGACAAGAACGCTAAAGTGGCTGCATAATAATGCACTGACATACCGAGTTTGATCAAAATCGTTATAGTCGTTTTCGAGAAAATCGTAAAAATGTATAACATCGATTAAATAAAGTGCTACTTCCGTTTAGCCGATTTTGATGAAAAAGTTGCTGTAACATCTCAGGTATATACAAACCTTAAATATGCCACTTCACTTTCGTACGACTTTTCGTTTTTGAGCTAGGCTCTTTACATACATACACAGACCATTTTGCGGGGCTTGGTTATTTGGACTCAGAAAACTTAAAAACATGCATTTTTATAGAAAATTCAGATTCGAAAATTTCACGATCGCAATACTTAATCTTAATATGTATAGGTAAGTGAAAATAAAAATGAATGTATGTAATATATTCATACTGGTGTGAGACTTAGCTCATGACCAAAAACTCAAAACGCATGCTCAACTCCTGGAAGAAGAAATTATTGGGAAGAATGTGGGGAAGATGAAAGAATGAGGAGCTTCTGGAACTTTGTGGAGAACCTGATATTGTGGCATTGATAAAAAGAGCCAAGATAAGATGGTTAGGTCATGTTGTAAGAATGCCCGAACAAAGAATGTCAAAGAAGATGATGTACCAGAAGCCGGATGACGAAAGAAGTAGAGGACATCCTCGGATCTGATAGTTGGAGGATGTAGAGGACGATCTGAGGCGGTTGGGCCTTCGAATATGGAGGGAAGTATAACAAGACAGGTGAGATTGGTTGGCTGTAGTGGAGGAGGACCGGGTTCTTGCAGGACACTAACGCCGTAATAATAATAATAATAACAATTTAATTGTTAATTTTTCGTTATTAAATTTTAAAAAATTATTATTTTGTAAAAAAAATTTAAATTGTTTTATAAATGTTGATTGCTGTTAATGAAGGCATGATTAAAGACCGATTACGAAAAAGTAAAAAATATATACATGATGACAATGTCTATGATATTGAATCCATATTTCAATCCTGTGACATCAAGCCTCAATTCAAGAATTATTCTTTTCTTTTTCCTTCACAGTGAAAGCCCCGTTTCCCAAAATTAAATCCTGAATCTGCTACTGCTTAGAATAGACAATGCAAAAAAAACGACTGGAGGATGACAACTTCGTAAATTTGATTAAGAATTACACTTAGTAACTACGACAAAATTAAAAGTTTGGGTGTTTTAAGTTAACAACCTTTATAAGTTAAAATGAAGGAATGTTTTTTATATAAAATTTGAAGAATAAAATAAATAATTGTTATGTATTCTATTGAAAAAAATGACTACTTATCCATTACCAAGCGATATTCTGCAACCACAGCATCGCCGTTGAAGAGACTAAACTGAGGAGATTTCATCCCTACTTAAAATACCTGTATGCCACTCAATTATTGGAGCAGTGGGGATATTATAATGTTCTAGAGCCGAAGCGACAATCTGTATACACCCACATCACATTCATTCCTAACCAATTCAGATAATAGATTCCAAACAATAAAAGTTTCCCAAGCAAGATCAGTATAGCTTCCTCACCATTTTCGTTGGTTACACTAGTAGGCATCTTTCAAGATCTATAATCCATTGACATTCGCAAGTTTCAAATCCGCGACCATCAACTAACACCAGCTAAAACAACGTAGATTTATGCATTTGTGAATCACATATTTGCCTACTTGCGATTACAAAATGAAAAATTTTCTCGATCGCAATACTTACACTTACTATATATTACATATATACGTAAGTGAAAGTAAAAAAAAAAACTATTATGATTTTAATTATCATTGTCGAAACACTATCATGTACAACAGCAAATCGCATATTAACGCTTAATTTCTTATTTTTACGGCTTATAAAAAACAATCCATATAAATAAAATAAAGATTTTGTCTGCACATTGAATAGAATCAACCCGTTTTATGACATCCTTCCGTGTCATACATTGTAGACACCAAATCCACTTTTTAAAAAATGTTTGTCTGTCTGGTATGTCCGCATTGCAACGAATTTTTGTCAGAGGTAAGCTCAGCAATGGTTTATTGTAGACTTTTGAAATTTTGACATTATATTAAGGTTTATAATTGGTAATTGGTTGACTGTCGTGGATAATGAAGAGAAGAATAGTTGGGGTGCTCAGTCAAAAAAGGAAGGCAAAAATAAATTATAATATTTATTTTTTACATCTGCCGACGTTTCGACCTGAAGTTCAGGCCATCATCAGGGCTAAGAAAATAACCAGATAACTTTTCTCATACCTTGTTATCTGGTTATTTTCTTAGCCCTGATGATGGCCTGAACTTCAGGTCGAAACGTCGGCAGATGTAAAAAATAAATATTATAATTTATTTTTGCCTTCCTTTTTTGACTGAGCACCCCAACTATTCTTCTCTTCTTATTAAGGTTTACTTGACTTAAAACATAATCTTTAAATGAAAACAAAATATTCAGTATAACCAAAGTTTATAAATGTTAATAATAATCATATGTTTGTAAAAGAACATCTGTATAAATGAAATAAAGGTTTTGTCTGTATATTGAATTGAATCAACCAGTTTCATGATATCTTTCCGTTTCATACATTACAGACAAGAAATCCACATTTAAAAGATTTTTTTGTCTGTCTGTATTTCCGCATTGCAACGAAATTTTGTCAGGGGAAAGCTCAGCAATGGTTTATTGTACACTTTTGAAATGTTGACATTATATTAAGTTTTACTTGACTTAAAACATAGACTTTAAATGAAAACAAAATATTGAAAAGAACCAGAGTTTTGAATTCTTGGGTAATTTGTCTAAAGATCCCGGTTAGGCAGTTACTTCGATTCCCATGCAAACCTAATCTACCGCGAGCCATATTTAACAGTTGTACTA